TAAAGGAACACACCAAGGGGAGAGGTAGAGGGAAAGAGGAGGGAGGAGTAAGGAAGGAGTAAGATGTAAGGAGGGCGTAAGGGGAATGCTAGGAGGAAGGGGAGAAAGGAAGGTTTGAGGGGAAAGGGAAGTAGGGAAGGGGAGTGTTAGAGGGAGGAAAGGAAAGTTGGAGGGGAAAGATGGGGTGTATGGAGGATGGAAGTGTCAGGTGGGGTTGTGAATGATGATGAGTTGTGTTTTCTTTTTTATTTTATTTTATTTCTTTTCTTATAGCAAATATCCAGTATATAAGTGACTGTAAAATGGAATGTGAAAATGAATAAAATATATATTTAAAAAAAAAAGTGACTTATGGTCATTTTTCACACTTAACGACCATTGCTCACCTGATCAAAAGTCAACTGACTCATATTTAAGACAGTTGTAATGTCCCGAGGTCATGTGATCCCCTCTTGCAACCTTCTGACAAGCAAAGTCAATGGGGGAAGCTGGATTCACTGGTCATTTTCATTCCTGCATACATCACTAGCAGCAGTTTTATCTGGTTTGTGTGGTGTTTCTTGACCTTAGCATCTTTAAGATATGTGGACTTCAACTCCCAGACTTCCCCAGCCAGCCATGGGGGAAACACTAATCTAATTATTATACCAGCAAGATTTTTTTTCTCTTAGAATGCAGTACTGCAAGCTAATGCTGCTGACTGCCGTCTGCCGGCATTTCAGCAGTTCAATCCTGACTGGCTCAAATGAGGACCCAGATTGTCGGGGGCAATTGTTGACTCTGTAAAACTACTAAGAGAGGGTTGTTAAGCATTGTGAAGCTGTATGTTGTATAGGTCTAAGTGCTATTGCTATTCTTTCTCTCCTTGCCATACAATAGAAGTCTACTACTTTCTACTATTGGTCAATCAGCTAACAGTTCAGCATATCTGCCACAAGATGGCAGCAAAATGTTAGAGCTGTTTATCTTTCTTGCATTCAAGACAGCTTCCCACAAGCATCAACATGCCTGTACATATCTGGAGATGGGATAAAAGGGAAAACACCACTTCCAGAGCAGAAGCCCCAAAGTCTTTCTAAAGTGGGTGGGCTAAGGCAAAGAGGTGTTTCATGTAGTCTTGTCCTGTAAAAACATTGGTCATCCTCACATTGTGAGAAAGAGAATGTGTGGTGTGTCTCCCCCCCCCCCCCAAAGCAGAGCAAAGAAAATACAGGGATGTCATTGGCACAGATATGATAATTGAACTGAAAGCAAGCAAGCAGGAAAATTCAAAGACAGAATGAACAAAGTGGGACTACAAAACAAACCCCGGGGAATACTCCCAGACCAAGGGAAGAAGAACGAAGATTTCTGCATAGCCAAAAATGTAACCTAGTAAGAAATATAAGGTTGTGTAAGGTTCCAGCAGTTTTCCCTAGCCACTGAAATGCTAAAGAGAGTGAGACTTGAGACGAGGCTTGTAAAACATATCAGCTTTTATTTATGGCGATAGCAAAAGCTGGGTGACAAAACTATATCCAAAACATACAAATAAATGTGTATAAGGAATAGCCACCCGCTGCAAGAGTGGCTCAGAGTATTATATACATTTTAGGCAGATAGAAACAAAGTTTATCCAATCAGAGACCAAGATTTGTTACCAACTTGATCTTTAAAGCGTTCTTTTGTTCAAGCTCCTGTCTCTGTCTACCTTATCTGTGGAGGATTCCTATAGCCTTGTGTAGAGGGTGGAAGCCCCCCTTTGCCAAGTTGTTTTTTGGCAGAATGCTTTAAGGATTTATGAGTCAGGAAAACTCCCTAGTTTGGTTTCTTTATCTATGCGGCCAGTGTAACAATTTGTTCTCAAATCCTGGCAAACAAACAAAAGTGCCACCAATAGCAATGATTGACAGTTTGCTTGAGCCATCAGCAGGTCTCGGACAATCCATCCCGTACAGTGCCCGGGTTATATTTAATAATCTTGGACAAAAATGATAGAGAAGACCTGGAAAAATCTGGAACAAACTGAACAACACAACAAAGTATTGGGTTTTTTTTAATGATAAAGATAGGAATATTTCAGAATCTGGAAAAATACTTACTGAAAGAAAATGATTTAATAGAATAGCCTACTAACAAGAACAAAGAAAGAAAAAAAGATGCGTAAAGAAAAGAAGACAAAAAGTTCCAATGAGTTTGGACCATAATCCATTTTGCCTCCTGGTAACATTTTAGTTACAGGACCTGCTACAGCAGCTGAAACTCAAGAGCCCATGAAAAGGTATCTGGTGACTTTCTGCCAGTGGGAAAACAGGCTGTTCACAAGTTTTACAGAGTTTTGCTATTGCAAAAATAAAAAATAAAAAATGCTCTTTATGTGATTAGGTTTTGCTGCAACTGAGCCAGAAATAAAGTCAAATGGACACAGCAGAGCCACTTATAGACCTGGTTTCCCCAATAAGTGAGCCTCTCACTTTCCACCAGAGGACAAGAGATTACATGAATACAAGATCATAGAAAATATGCTGATGATGCCACTATCATTTCACAAACACCCATAGGACTGAAGAGAGCAATTAGGGCAACACTCGGCTATTGCAGGCAAAACAAGCTGGTCCTTAACTTTGATAAATCAAAAGTTTTAGTTTTGCATACTCATGGAAATTGGAAGGATATAGTCTGGAACAGGTTAGAACATTTAGATACCTTGGTGTGGTTTTCCACTCGCTAGGGACATGGAAGGCACACCTGGATCACACATTGCAAGTAGCCATTAGACAGACAGACAGACAGACAGACAGACACACACACACACACACACACACACACACACACATATATATATATATACACACACACACACACACACACACATATATCCTATGGAATGGTATAGGACAATGATGGCAAACCT